AATATAACTTCATGATAACTTGATTTCAACATTCGCGCTAGAACAAATGCTATAACGACGAACGTGCTCAACTTCAATAATAATCGCTGACTGCAGATCAATTACTCACTGTCTACACACACATTATTACGTCACGTTGTCACCCTCTTACATATATACCAGCCTACCTATATCTAGTAATCTCCCGACTATTCCCGAAGGTTCAAGAGGTGGCGTAACACTAGTCACGTGACCTCGCTTACGCAACACTGCCCCTTCTTAGTATTGTTCGTCCCGAACAATAGCCACTTACAATAAACCAATAACAATAACTTAATTAAATGTACAGAATTACAAACACAAAATTACAATTCAACAAAGTCTCTTAATTTTATGGGACGTATCTTCTTCCGTACTGGTCTCCGTCTTGTTGGCTTCTGCTTCACGTGGGGTTCATCTGCTTCATCAGGAAATGTCCTATCGTCGGTAACAATCACATCAGTGGCAGTAACTTCATCAAGAGCTTCACCGTTTCCCTTCTCAAAACTGAGTAGAGTTTCTTCTTTGACATTGGTTTCTTCATGTGGCACGTCTTCAGCAGCGTCATTTGTTCTGTTGTCCACTTCATCCCAACTGAAATGTCCTGGACCGTGATAACGCCAAAGCCTGTTGGCATGCACCACTTTTGGTTTACCTCGCCGACCACATTTTACCCGGAAAGTCACGTCTGAGAGATGATCCACTATGTCATATGGGCCTTCCCATGGAGAAGACAACTTAGGAGACTTCCCTTTTGTCTTCCTGGGATTATACAACCATACTTTGTCTCCGGGTACAAAGCAGACTTCAGTAGATCTCTTATCATAAGTTAACTTCATCGAATCAGCAGACGTTTTCAGGTTTGAATGCACTTGATTATGAATATCATCCATCCTTTCCGATAACACTTTCACAAACTCTGACACATTCTCAGGCAACTCTTCATAAGTTGGGCATCCCTTATGCTTTGGTCCTCTTTTTGCACTACATGTACTGCATGTCCGGCACCATTCTTCCACATCTCGCCTCATACCTATCCAATAAAATCTTTGTCGTATGTGACTCAATGTCTTCTTGAATCCGAGATGACCTCCTGTTAAACTATCATGGGATTGACGCAACACAACAGCCCATAACTTCCCCGGTATAACTGTTTGCCAAGTCCACATTCACCCACCTGTATTTCCCCAACGCCGTAC